TTGAGTATTCGATCATCTAAGTCATTCTGAAGTAATACAGGAAAAACTAAAGACATCGAAAATGATTCTTTCTTTTATACGTAATTTCTCATTACGCAACTTTTCTTACATTAATAAATTGATTAACAATGGCGACTTGTTGCGTAATAATAAAAAAATGTGTAAAAGTAACATAAGTTTAGAGTAATGATGAAAAAAGTGAAGAAACAGCATGAAATTGAAAATTTGTCGAAGCGCAACGTTTCTTACTTAAAGAGTTACTCTTCCCTGCCCCGCATCTGATTAATTTTGAGTTATTAACAAAAATGCGTTTTTAACAAAATTTCGAGAAATTGAAGCAAAATTTTGGTATTTTTTAAGACCATTCAAAATAAAAATATCGATGCTTTGATAAGTGAAGTTTACGATTATTATTGAATTATGTAATTATCCTACGTTGTTGTCGTGAAAAATTATAAAAAAAGTGAAAACGATATTTTTCAGCTTCTACACTTTTGACATCTCCTAGTACGCAAGAAGATGATAATACCAATCTATTAGCGAGTTCGTTGGAAAGGTGAAACTTTTGTCTTTAATGCGTATAATTATTATCCTATTAGCTCGTTTGGCTGTTGAGTAATTCGAATGAATGTGAAGACTTAGAAATTATTGTATTGGTTAAAATTTAATTGATTCTAATTACATATATCGTACACTTACTATGTGCATACATTGCTTAGTATATCTTTACTAAAATTACCATTGGGGTACAATGAACCAGAATGGTTCATATCAGAGGATTGAGCCATCATCCGAGTACAACGTTCGGCCAATTCACCACATCATGCGGTCCTTCCGCAGGCCAAAATCGCATTCCAATAATGCGCGTCCATCAAACGTTTCCCTTCCGTTCGTACTTTTTTTTTTCTTCTTTCATTCTTATCCACTCTCTCTCTCTCTATCCTTCCATCATCCAGCGACCCGTCCATCCGAAGCTTCGGCCTCTTTTCGCCGACGCCAGCATCTTTGAAGGCAACCGTCAAAGACCCCCACGGGCCTTCTTCTTCTTCCTCCTTTTATTATTTTGTCGCGCACTCTTTACCGGTTATCTCGCCCCCTTGATCCGCAGCAATTTTTACAATGGTTTTCGAATTAAGAATACCATTCCCCGTCCAATATCAAATACACGAATGTCACTTATCTCAGTCACTCTTTCTCTCTTGTGCAACACATGTATGAATAAGGGAGAAAGAGAGATAAATTGCATCTACGACGTGAAAAACCTCGAGTATTTTTCCTTCGCGAATTTCCTGCTCGTTTTTTTTTTTCGTCTGAAAAGTTGGATTTGATTTGTCGTGTATTTGATTGGTGGGAGGTAAAAGCAGAGAGAGGCTTTCAGGTCCAAATTGATTGGGTTATGATCGGGTTGTGTGTATCGCGCGAAATCGAGTTTGATATACCTCCTAAACCCCACACCCCTCCGCACATATTATATAAACCTCGGCCGGTTTTGTAATTGCGGAATTCCAAGGGGGGATGGACACGAATAAACAAAACAAAAACAAAAATGTACGAGTGTGTTTGTGTGCGAGAGGACAAGAGGACGAAACGTCGCGGTCTCGACGTGAAATATTCAGTAGTTGTGGAGCTAAAAATAGTTTGATGAGCGGGAGAGGATCACGCTCCTCTATGGATAGATGTGTTGTGTTGTGTGCGTGTGAGTGGCTGAGTTTTATATAACTATTCATGGACCCCAGCGGCCGCCGGTCGACTTGGATCGCGTTGCATAACACACACACACAAACACACAAATACATACATCAACGTACATACACACACACAAACACAAAGGGTGCAATTTAACCGTATTGAATGGACTGACCTTTGATGCTTTCGACCTCCCCCAGCGCCACAACACCGTCCCTCATCTCATACTCTCTTTATTATCAGCCGGTGCGGCTACACAAACACACACACACATAGACCCATATACACAAATACGAAAAAATTAAACAACGACCACTGATAAAAAAAAAACGTCCAAATTGATGCATCCCACTCATTATTAATTCCAATTAATATTTGCGGACTCAGGGACGGATTCCAGGACGACCTGCTTTCATTTCTCTGCAAAACCCGCTCACCCCGCTCTTCCATCCGAAGAACATCCAATATCCCACCGAAGGATTCTCCGGATTACACACATGCTCGCACCTGCATAGCATCAAAATTAATGAAGAAAAGATCTAACTTTTTTCAATTACAGTGCCTTACAAAATGTATATAACTGAAGAAAACTCCTAAATTTTATCACAAGTATTGTTACTAAGGTAATTAGGGTTTTCTTTAGTTTTTTTTTCTTTTTGACATCATTTCAGGAAAAGAATACTTACAAATTTTACAGGCATAAAACAAAATCAACAATTAGAGTGCGTTACAAAATTTATGAAAACAATTACTAAAATTTTATCTTTTATTCTATTTGATAATTCTTTCAAATAACATTTCAGGAAATAATTAAACATATAAATCTGAATGAATAAAACCTAAGCCTAAATTATTTTTACAAACTTTTCTTTTCAATAGAATAAGTATGTTTTTTATTAATTTTTTTTCTACTTGAAAATTCTTTCAAACATTACCAAATATTAACTAACGTGGAACAAAATAAATTTAACTGAAGAAAACACCTTATTTCCAAATTACTAACGAGCAACAAAATTATTAAAACTTAGGAAAACAAAGTAACTTTTATCAAAACTATTGTTATCTTTTTCTGTTTGATAATACTTTCAAATATAATTTCAGTAAGTCGTTTGAACATTGCAACAAAATAAATTTAACTGAAGGTAATACCTAACTTTTCTTTTGAAATTCTTGCTACTAGAATAAATACGATTTGTATACGATTCTATATTAGATAATACTTGCAACTTTTTTTCAGGGTTTACCAAAAACCGTCTTTACCAAAATCATCCAACTGTACTTCTTCTTCCCTGTTTCTTCCACACTGAAAAGGAGAGCAGGTATGTAAGTAAGTTATTTTCTATTATTTTTTATCCACTACTTGAAGATTTGGTTTCAGGGATTACCAAACACCGGCTACAGTAACAAGGAACAAAATAACTTTCTTTCCCAAATTGTTTTGACTATGGTTTTCTCTTCTACTTTTTATATATTTCATAATACTTGAAAATTTGATTTCAGGGATCAACGAACATCGTCTATAGTGTCGCGATGAAGGGGGATTACGTGCCCATAGTCTCTGTGAATATTGGTGGAATATTCGGTGAATGCAATGTTAATTGTTCAGTGTAATCTCACCTCATCCCACCACTTCAAATTTAAAAAAAAAACCTTTTTGTATATTGATATATTGTTGTACTTTTGAAATTGTACTCGAGGTTTTACGGTATACACGTGTTACGCAAATTTCTCAAAACATAATTTAATTATCTCGATTAACGTTCGTATGTAGCGCCAATAATCTTGAAGTGCTTTCGTTAATTGTGTGATAGAACTGGTGAGAAAATTCAAATTTAAAAAAAAAAACTTTTTTGTATAATGATATATTGTTGTACTTTTGAAATTGTACTCGAGGTTT